ATTTTCTAAATTGGTCGATGATAATCATCGGCAGATTTTTCAAATAACATGTACACCGGATGCTTTACTATAGCCTATTTGCCGTATAAGTAGAAGTGCATAAATGCTGTACGTATAAGTATTGTATGCCGTCATTCACCTTAATTTAGTGGGCGAGTATAAAGATGATCTATATATTAATTGGTGGATTAAAAAAGTGACAAACACTTATATTTACTACAAACTAATACCCTTCAAATTAACCATTCTATTCGGTCAGTGAGTATTACAATAACAATAAATTTTTTAATGATATAATATTTGACGATGATTAAAATGGTAACCTGAATACGGCAAAAGTATATATTGTAATAAAGACAACACGTTTAACGTTAAAGCATGGCGCTTGACATGTGATCCCGACAAGCAAAAATAAGAATATTAATGATAGCATCAGAGAATTTCAGCTTAGAATCATGGGAATGCAATTGAACGGATTTCATTCAATAAATTACCGTATAAGCGCGAAATAACGCTCGTGGGCGTTATTTTGAAAATCGGATTCTTCCCAAATTAACGCGCATCCTAATGTAGCATATAATTTATTGTTGCTATAAAATGATAAATGCGCTTTCCCTATATGATAAGTGCACATAATTTGATATCGGTCTAATGTAATTATTTAATATGAATATTCTATAAATGGGGACCCCACAGCAAAGGGTGCATTGAGGCAAAAATTTTGTTTTAAAGATTAATCTAATTCTTCAAGAAATCAATTAGAATAAAAAAATTTTTTTGGCCCAATGCCCCCATTTGTTGTGAGGAGTCCCAAATGCATTTTTACCTAAAATGTGCAATTATTGGAGGCTGACTGTATTGGATTTAGAAAATATACTCTTATTTCGAAATAACACACATGGATTCGAAATAGCGTGCAGGTGGGTGTTATGGCAATAAAGGATTTGGGATATGTATATTCAGCAACTTGATTAAATAGTATACGAAAATTGATTATAATTGTATAAAGTGCTCGTACAAAACCACTCGAGGTAGACGACTTCTACGTCATAGACGTAATGCCGTAAGTCAATACTCTGAGAAATATGTCTGCCATCATTAGTTATGAAGACATATGTTCCGTAACGTGAACCCCTCGGGACCAGTGTTGGCAAATGGCAATATCATATTGTCATATGATATGTTTATATGATATAGGATCATATAAATCATATGCCATATGATATAAAATTATTATTATATGACAGTGATATGACAATTCAGATAAGTCATATGAGTCATATGACATCATCTCAAAAATGTGCACTTAGAGAGGGCGTGCATTTATAGAAAGCAAAATATATAATGCTATAGACTGTACTGTGCATTTAAAGAGATTTTACATAGAGGGTACATTTACCCAGATAAGAATTTTGTAATTTTGGCCAATATTTGTTAACTAAAAATAAATTTTCTAATTCTAACCCTAACGCTACCTTTAAAGTTCTAATTCTGCTAAAATAATTTGGTACAACCTATATATAGCATTTCAATATTTCAAGTTTTAAAATATATGCTTTAAAATATGCTTCTATAAAAAGAGCTGATGCATTTTAATATACTATTTTTTATAGTATCTGGTATAGATTACCAACACCATATATGATATTCGATATATAAATAAAAATCGATTTACGTGACGTTCCCTGATATAGTTCTAAAAAAGCCCACTAAGATACTGCATTACTCGAAGTATCAGGTATTGTATATCAGTTTATACGTACGTATCAAATATAAGAGAATTTGTATCTTTGATTCTTTAAATCCCTATTAGGAACAGTACATCCATAAAATAGCATTTGTTTGCAAATATAAAAAAATTCGTGCAAATGAGCTGTAACGTAAATATTTAGTCACGTGCCTAATTAAAATACTTATAGTTTTAAAGTCTCTAGTTATGATTTCACAAACACTATCTTAATCACCTTGTTTCGAATAGCAGTAGCGAGTTTGATATCAATAAACGATGAAGATTTTAAGCTTATTTGTAACGATCTTTACAGTTCTCGTTACGGGGGTTTTGGGCTCTGAAGTAATATCTTTAGATAGTTCTAATTTTAATCAAATAGTTTCTAAAGGAAATTGGTAAGTATTTATTATTTTCTTCTGCTTAAGATGCTTAATAATTTTATTTTTTCTCTTTTTTTTTGCTTTATAATAAAGGTTTGTTGATTTTTTTGCACCATGGTGCCCTCATTGTCAGGTTCTAGGTAACAATATTTTCTAAATAAATTGATCGATTATGTTGAAACGGACCAAAAGTCTTATAATTTTATATTCATTTTTACATGCAGAGCCAATATGGACAAAATTGGCTGCAGAACATGGTGATTTTCTTAAATCAAAAGATTTTCACTTGGCCAAAGTAGACTGTACATTGAATGGAGGTAAATAATTTATATTTTATCACATAGTTCGTATATCTCAATATATGCTAATTAATTTGGATAAAACCCCTAGATTTTTGTAACTTACATGATGTACAAGGCTATCCCTCACTGAACTTGTAAGATTATTCGTCTACTATAACATAGGCTATTCATTTTTTCCTTATGCATACTCATAATCTAGTCTTATTATAGATATAAAAATGGGGCTAAAATAGATAGTTATCTTAGGGCCAGAGATTTTGACACTTTATCTGAATATATAAAGAAAAAAGCTGAGGAAGAATATGAACCAAAAACTAATGATAATACCGATATATTGATTGTACCTGAAGAGGATGAGATTAATGAAGAGCTTATACCACCAAATCCATCCGGAACTGTTGTATCTTTAACTAGCAATAATTTCGACGAATTAACAAAATCTGGTCCATGGTTTGTGAAGTTTTTTGCTCCATGGTGTGGTCATTGTAAAAACTTAGCTCCAACCTGGGAAGAATTAGGTCATAAATTACAGAATAAAGTTAATGTTGGCAAAGTGGATTGTACCGTTGAGAAAGGTAGTTATTACATAAAACTGTGCAAATTTTCTATACGAAAAAATTATATTTTTAATATTGACTAAATTTTATTGATTAAATTTCCAAAGATATTTGCTCTAGATTTAAAATTCAAGGTTACCCAACTTTGAAACTGTATCCTCACATTTAAATAATTATTGTGAAGTTATTTTCAATTCACGTTATATTTCCATAACTAATTAAATTTTTATAGTATAAAAGATGCCGATGATATCACTGATTACAAGGGATCTCGACAATTGCAAAGTCTTCAGGAGTTTGCTGAGCAAGCTGCATCTGCTCGTTTGGTAGAAGTAAACTTGGATGAATTTGATAAAGCCAAGAAGATCGATGATGTATTCTTTATTTATCTTTACGATGAAAATACACCTTCCAAGAATTTAGTAAGGTTTATTTATTTTTCATCAATCTACGAAAAAATTGATTTATTTATGATAATTTAATTATATATCAGGATATTATGAAAGGATTATCTCGTTCTTTCTTTTCGATTAAATTCTATTCCAGCAAAGATCCTAAACTTGCTTCCTCATTAAAGGTTTATATACTTCCAGCATTAGTAGTCATAAAAGACGATCTCCAAAAAAGCTACCAAACCACAAATTCTGTCGATCCGTTCGATGATCTTACATCTTTAAGAAATTGGGTTCAATCTGAAAAATATCCCTTAGTACCAGCTATAGATTCTGAAAATTATGAAGATATATTAGGAGGTGATAGATTGGTTGTTTTAGGAGTATTGAGACCAACTGATGTTAGACCTTTCATTAAGGCCAAGAATTCATTAAAAGCTATTGCAAGACTTTATCATCAACAAACTAAAAAACGTGGAGGTTCTGAAGACAATCGAGGTGTGATATTTGCGTGGTTGGATGGTGACAAATGGGAAAATTATATTTATAGTGTTTATGGATTAAATCGAAAAGATTTGCCAACTGTGGTAATTTCTGATCCTTTGGTAAGTTTATGTTAATCATTATTATCATGTGACAGGTTGAAATCCACTATAAATTTTGGTTAAACTTGCTATGTAGATCATATGAGGGTGAAATCCGCATTAACATATAAAAAACACTATGCTAAGGCGAATTTCATTCTCATGCGATTATCAAAATGGGTTTTACTAGAATTTAATACAGATTTCATCAATTTCTATTTATTATTGGAGGTGATCATTGTGGTATGGTTAATCAAATTGGAATTAACGTGAAATCGCGTTGCGGAACATTGTAAATGACAAAATAAGAAAGTTCATCGCATGATCTTTGATAGAAATTATACTCTACCTTAATTTTAACCCTGACCCTAAATTCAATAATAAGGCTTTATTTGATCATTTTGATTTACGTCGCACCAGACTATATGATCACCATTCAGTGATACGTAGTAATTTTTATTTACGTCACACCAGTCTATCAGCTATGATGATCACCATCAGTGATATGTAGCAATTTTTATGATACCATTATTGTGTGAATTTGATTGTAACATAATTACAAATTCATTTTTCAAAAAGTCAAGTGAATATTTTGATACCTCAAAAAGTGGTGAAAAGCTCACATTGAGTCATCAAACACGACTGCTCGAATCAATTAACGATGCAAAACTTGGATATCTTGAAGGAAAGAGCACTATTGGATACACGGAGAAGATGTTTAGAGTAATTTGAAGTTTCCGAGTTTATTTTGTATTTTATTTATCTTCTTAATCTAACTTCGATTCTTAATTAGGGTATATTTTCAATGGGCGCCAACGTGCAGGTAATTATTTTTTTATCTTATTTCATTTTTTTAAAAAAAATAATAATTTATAATTCTTTGTAACTAATAAATAGAAATCATTATTTGATCATCCGTTCATTTCCTTGATAATCTTTGCATTGATATTTGGTGTATTTTGGAGGACTTGTTTAATGTCTCAAACGCGAGATGGGCGTTGGCGAGATTTTGAACGGGGGTATGATAAATTCGAATAATAAATAAAAAAGGAGAGAATAGTAATCATAATTTAAGAGAATTTGTAGGTTTATTTACGATAAAATAGATTTGAATATTATTATTTTTTTATTGAGAATTATAAAATTTAACTATTGTTGTACAATTAAAGACTCATAATAGAACACCTATCATTATTCACGTAACAAATTTTATTCACTAGATGCATGTGTGAATGATGTAAATTAAAGCCTAATATCTACAACAGTCAACTATTACAAAAAAAAAAAAAAAAGGTGCAAATCTGCAAGATTTTAAAACTTAATTGTTCGGAGCGTAGCAGGAAAGTAGCGATCAGAGTTAAAACAATGTATACTAAATGCCGGCAATTCAATAAGTATCGTTCTTGACTTGCATAATAAAAATACTACAATTTGCAATTTCAATGATCAGGAAAGTAATCTTAAACAATAGAGTATGAATTAGTAAATGGCCGCCATTTGCAACAGCACATGTCTTTCTAGCCCTGGTAGGAGGGACATGTTTATATTGATATGTATATAAACACAGTTAGACCTCTAGTAGCTACAGTACTTTCTATATATCAATATAATTACAGAATTGTATTTCGCATTATACGGATTTTTGGAATTGTACCAAATAAGTATACAATTTAGCAATTTTTTTAATTTTGAATAATTTTACGATTTTATGATTTTAACAAGCTAAATTATTAAAATTTAAGGATCTTATTAAGTATAGGCGGGCATATATAGTTCTAATCCTAACTACGTGGGGTCTTTGCCTTGAAAATGACCTTACGGTATCATATACCGTAAGGTCATTCTCAAGGCAAAGACCCCACATACAGTATATATACAGGGGTTTTCTTTTGGCGACACTTATATATAAAGACAAGATCACGGGACTCGATATAATCACCAGGTTGGGAAACAAAATTTATACGTATGTTTTATAATAGCTAGGTCAAAAAATAGTGTGATTATAACATTGTTGTGATTATATTGAGAGTGATTATAAAAAGGTCTGACTGTATTTGCAATTTTCTGTATCAGATACAGTATAATCACACACTTGGAATACAAAATAGTGTGATTGTAAAAAGAAGTGTGATAATTTTTTATTTTTTTTTTTACTTTGATAACCTCACACTAATTTATTAGAAGCTTTGTAATTTACAAATTTAACTATTTAATATATGTATTAGGCCAATATCTGGCTGTTTATAAAGTGCCCAAGTATTGCACTGGCTGTTGCCACCAAGCTCTATATACAGTGCTACCTGTATTTAAAAACCTGATATAGCTAGGCAGTCAGACACCTAAGACCAGACTACTTTAAATTTATCTTTCTTCAAATTGTTTCCACCACAATCCTGACAGGATATAATACCTCTTACTTCTCTCATCACAACTACTTTAAATTTTCTTTTATCAAACTCTTTCTACCTATATTTGGGCTGGATATGTTAACTCTTACTCTTGCATAAGATCAAATACATGTCACATTTACAAAAGAAACCTAGCTTTAAAGTACCTACTTTAAACAATTCCATTATAACAGAACAAGATAAAATAAAAGATGCAAGTACTCAGAAAACTAGTTTGATACATTTATAATATGGTGCAGAACATCATAGTGCTGAATTTTGAAATATATACAGTATATAAATATATATAGTAGTACTGAAATTTTAATAATTAGTGCTGAAATTTAAAAATTTGGTGTTGAATTTTTTAAAATTTATATAATGTTTAATTAGTGCTGAAAATTTTAAAAGAGATTGAATAAAAATAAAAAAAATAAAAAAAATAAAAATTAAAGTTTAAAAAAAAATTTTATATATTAATTTAATCTATTAAAAAGTAATTTATAATATAAACGCTGAATTTTTTGTGAAGTATAACATAAGTTTTTTTGCATGTTTAACTAAATTTTCTATTTCTAGAAGACCTTTCTCAACAACTAACTAAAGAGTATGTGCCGTACATGGGATATGAATTATATCTTGTATTAAATCTAGTGCTTTAATCATATTATTACCGTTGTCTGTAGTAATTGAAAAAACTTTATTACTAAGATTCCATTTATTGATAATCAAATTTAATACTTTAGCGATAATCTCACCAGTATGTGGATAAAAAAGCTAATTAATAGAAAGAATAGTTTTTTGAAATTGAAAATTAGTATCAACGTATAAACAAGTTATACTTAAATATCCTAATCTATTACGTCCAGTCCATAAATCACAGGTTAGTGAGCATGGTATAATATTTTTTCAAATATATCTAATAATGATTGCTTAGTATTTTTATATACTTCAAAAAGTAATTGTCGGCAATATCTTTTACTTGAAAATTGGTATAATTGATCAAATTCTGCAATAAAATCCTTAAAACCCTCATTATTTCGAATACAGTATTTAATAGTTGTTAATTCTTAATTAAAAGTTTAACAAATTTTTGATCTAAACGATGCTTATGTTCTAGATTATTATAGATTATTTTATCAATTTGAAGTTGTGAAGATAAAGATTGTTTTATTTTTTTATTACTGTATGTGAACTTTCTGTAATACCATATCATGTTGCTAAGTGCCCAATATAATTTTCTGTTAAACTCCATAAGATGTTTACATAATTCACTTTTATTATTATTTTTATAAACTTCTACTAAACAACCTATAATTGTTTTGTAGAGTGGCACAGTTTCATAACATTGACAATAAGACCAAATCCAACTTCGTTCTGAATGGTTCATAATAGGAATTAACTTTATTTCTTTTAAATTTGGTGTTTTTAATATATTTTTAGATTGGTTTTGTGAAATTGAATAAAGTGTATTATCTTGATTATATTCAATAACTAGGTTATTATTATTATAATTAATTAAGTCATCATTATCATCATTACCCAGGTTATCTTTATATTTATCAACCAGATTATCTTCATATTTATTAACCAGGTTATTATAATATTCATTAATCAAGTTATCATGTTCATTTAATATGTCATATTCGGCAAATATATTATCAACTATATTATTGCATTTATCTGAAGTAGAGGCTTCAGATTAAGATAATTCTAATGTATTTACATTAGGTATTTTTTTATTTTTTGTTTTTTTTATCAAATAGAATGGTATTATCTTGCTCACTAAAATTTTTATCAAACATTTTTTTTAAGATTATAGAATCGTATTTTCAAACAATATTATTTATATTTTAAATTTTGGATCTTTACTAATTTATTAATTATTTATTTTGATATATCAGTAAGAATTTTAAATTATACATATATATATATTGATGTTATTCTCGATTTGATAAATTAACTTGTAAATTTATATTTGATAAAATAAATGATTTATTACAAATTATATACAAATGTTGCCAAAGTAAAATCTTAAGAATTTCTTATTGTATTACAGTAAATCTGATTTTTAAGAAACTACTATAATTAATTCTAGCTATATATATAAAGATTCAAATAAATGACATATATGATAAATAAGCCTTATAGATTATGCATGTCTCATTAACTCTTTATATGTATATAAAACTTATATATGTATAAATATAGCAATTTAATAAAATACTATATCAGTCAAATACAGCCTTGAACATAGTGATATTACATGAGATTTTTTTAACATAAAACATATATATATATATACTATACAATGCTATACATACAAGATATTATTATAAAACTGAGCAAAACCTGAGTTATAAATCAATAAAACTGGATATATAGATCAGGTTAAAATAAAGTTAAATTTATTTGTATAAAAGCAGCTCAACCCGGTTGTATATTAATTATATTAAAGTGATTGGTAATTTGACTTATATCTCTATTACTATATATATCTTAGATTAACTGGATAGGTTAACCGGATATCTTAATTAATGACTCATTAATCAATTTTATAATCTGGATATCTGAGTAACCTAGCAGTTAACCGGTTATTGCACCTTAGAGTATGATCATTAGCTGCAGGAAGTAGAAAAGAGAGTGCAATAATACAAAATAGATAACAATAGAAAAATCTTGTATAATATAGTATGTAATTAAAGACTAATTAGGAAAATTGAAATTAAGATACAGATTGTGTTATAGCCACATTTCAAAAGATACTGTGAAATACGAACACAATAATGGTAGTCAATATATACTAATTGGAAAGAAAGTTATGGAAATAAATAGTTATATGAGTGGGACATATAATAGTAGATTGCTCTAACTGACTTTAGCTTGAAGTTGGCTTAAAATAGTTAATGGAAAATAGTGTTCCTATGAACCGAACTGAAACCGAACTTTGGTCAAGTTCAGGTTTAGGTTCAGTTCAATCATGTTCAATATTGAACCTTCAAGTGAGGTTCATGTTCAGTTCAGTTCAGTATTGAACTTTTA